AGGCTACTTGCTTCTGCTGAACCCACATCTGTTAGCAGTGCACTAAGGCAGCACAGCCTTGAGATGTTTTATTATTTATTATATGTTTTGAAGTACTTGAGGGAGAGGCAGAATTGGGAGGGGTGGGTGGGTGGACTAACAGAAGTTCTCTTCCCATGGAGTAAAATAATGTCGATGAATTCATGTGCATTATGCATCCCCAGTGCCACGCATGCTAGGAGAATGACCTAATAGGTTTCTTTCTCTTGTTCTCTTCCTAAAGAACAGGGAATTTTTTTAGCTACTGAGCTGTCAACAAATGTTTTTGTATAGATGATGGAAGGGGGAAAAAATAATAACTTAATCCCAACCCAAGATCCATCAGCAGTGAGTAGGAGGATCCTACTGCTGGTGAACGAACAAAATCCTTGTCAGAAAGTTAATGCTCAGAGCACGGTGTGAGTGCAAGGCAGAAGCTTTGTCCACAGCTTTAAGCTAATCAACAAAAAATAAATAATTAAAAAGGAAAAAAATAAAAGATTTAGGAGCTTGCTGTTGCAGTGAAGGTGATTTACTGGTCCTGTTTCATTTTGAGACTTTTACGGGTTATGCCGTTATGGAGCTTGGAAGCAGAAGCGGGGTTTTGAGGTTGCACCTTGCTCTCTTTTGTGTCTCTTGCATTTGATATTGCACATAGATCAAATGAGCATCTCCATGCCATCCTGCATCACAGTGCCTACACCCTGAGGACAGCCTGCTGGGAACACAGCCTCATCAGGAAATTCTTGGATGACATCCCAAAAACATTTCCAGAGAACGAAAAGTTGGCTGGGCAGAAGAATATGTTTAACATATAAATAATGGATGTTTCCAGCACATTGCGTGCTTTGAGGCCGTGCAACCCGAGTCCAAAGGGAGGGTGGAGTGTGTGCCAGTGGCAGCCAGAAGACGAGATGCTGGAGTGCCTTTGGTGAGCGCATTGCAGCCCACTGCTGCTATGCCAGAGGCAAGTTCATGTGCAGGTGGGCAGGCAGCAGAGCAGGGAGGAGTGGGAGTCTTCTCCTGAGGACCACTGCACTGTGAGCAGGCGTGCCAAAGCAGACCTGTTCTCATGTGTTGTGAAATGCTTTCCCTTCCTGCACGGAAAGGGAAAGGGCAGAGGAAAAACAACACACAGGAAGCTCTTGAGACTTGGAGCATCACACAGCAGTGGGAGCAGCGGCAAATATTTGGGTGGGAAAAAAAACACAGGATAGCATTTGTTATAAATTGTTCCCATGGAATAAGAAAATATTTGGACAATATTGTGTGGTAAATTAAGGAAGTTCACTGACACTTTTCTAAATGTGTTATGACCGGGTTGTCTCCCATCAGCACTTTTCTCTTGTCATGCTCTGTAGTGCAGCAATTTCCAGCAGAAGATCCAGCTGTTGGAAGCAGGTGTGCTTAAAACTGCCTTCCTTAAAGAGCAGCTGGGACACACAGTGCCACGTAATGACCTTGAGCCAGGCAGAGAGCTGCATGTTCCAGCCATGCTCACTGCTCCTGGACAGGGAGCACCTTTAAATTCCTGGGCCAGAACCATGGAAACCTGGTGGCTCTTCAATAGGGCAAGAGGGTACAGCCTCAAGTTGTGCCAGGAAATATTCAGGTTGAGTATTAGGAAGAATTTATTCTCCAAAAAGGTGGTAATGCACTGGCATAGGCTGCCCAGGGAGTGGTGGAGTCACTTTGCCCGAGGTGTTCCAGAACCATGGAGATGTGGCACTGAGGGATGTGCTTGGAGGGCAGTAGTGGTGGTAGTTGGACTATGTGATCACAGAGGACTTTTCCAACCTTCACGATTCTGTGATTCTATTCCATAAGACTCCTTTTCTTTGCAGTTTCCTAACAGGTGAGTCAAAGGGAGGAATGTGCTGAAGCTGATGCATTGCGTCAGCTGACATCGTCTTCGCTCCTGATCCTTTCAGCTTCAATTCTAGCACTGCATGAACAGCAGGAGAAGTGACAGCATTTGTCAATGGAACAACCTGCTATGGCATTGAGCTCCCCTGCTTTTGAGACGTCCTTGGGTGCTGCGTTCTCCATTCAAACTTTCTGAAATACACCAAGTTCTGGGTCACTCCCTCTCTGGACCAAGCAACTTCGCTCACCTGTAGACCAAGCTTCCCTGCTTGCTCTCCTCCCTCCACACCAAGAAGGAAAGAGAACTGTCATGTATTGTGGCAGCAGTTGCAAGGACACCTGGCTGTGCCAATGGTGGCATGAATGGGAAGCAATGGTTATTGCCAGGAGGTGGTATGAATGGGAGAAGAGTCTCAAGCTGTGGTGACACTGAGAGAAGTTGATCCTGGAACCACTCCATTCACCTTGGCAGTGGAGCTGGAATTAGGTCGTTACAATGGCTGCTTCAATTGCAGCTCACTTCAGCATTATTCCCAGGCACAGAAAGAATACATGATTTGTTCAGAAAGGCTGTGACAGAGCCAGACTGCAATCCAGGAGACCTTGTAGCAAGGTCTTTGGGGCAAGCACGCTTTTTTCATCTGTCTGAATGCATTCAGCACAATGCCATTCTGGTGTGTAAGCAGGAATACCAACCTCTTGCATTGGAGTTTTGCACAGCAAAGAGCAGGTTTGGAAATGCAGCCTTCAGTAACATTTGCAACCTGCATGAGCTGGTTGTGAGGAGAGGTGGTGGTACAGAAGGGACACCCAGAGCAATCATGGGTGCAGGAGGTATGCAGGGACCAAGGGCTGCTTTCCCATGGTGAGCCACATATTCTGCTCTGTGCAAAAGGGCATGGATCTAGCCCGAGAGATTTAGAAAAATGCTTTTTTTTTTTATTTAATTATTTTTAACAGAAAAGAGAGGACTACAAAAGGGTACTGAGCATGCAGTAACTTTAAGTGGCATTAAGGTTCTCACCTCCTTCTTGTTCCGGGAAATTGCATTTGGATCTATTGATCCCAGCGACAAGTTTGGAAGCACGAGGTTGAGTACTTTTGCTGCAAAAACCTGTGGGAGAGGAAAGCAAGTAGTTAAGGAGCTGGTCAGGGCAAGAGAGATATAGAGGACCTAATCCTGAGCTGGTGGGAATCAGCACTGAAGTTAAACAGTTGAGGAATGTCAGCTGACACAGTAGAGAGATCTGTCCTATATTTAAAACATTTCTCTTGAAGTGAGTGTTTAAACTGCTCCTGGGACTGGGGGGGTGTGCAGGTCTGACATGTGTCAGCTCTCCGTCCACCACACTGCAGCTTCATCACCCCTTCCTTTTTTCTCACTCTCAAAGAGGCATCAGTGAGGCACCTTGATAAGAAAAAGCTGTTTCCATTCCCCATGGAGCTGTTTTTTTTCTGGTTCTCACTGCCCTGCCCTGCTGCCCCAGCTCTGATTTTGGACTGCAGTGCACACTCCGTGCCATTTACAGGAGTTGCCTAGGCTGCACTCTTTCTGATAGGCAGATCCTCAGGGGAACCTGCAAATAAACACCAACAAAAATGTGCATGCGTTGGCAAAGGAATCTATTGCTCACTTGTCTCCTGGGAAGGAAACACAAAAGCATTCAGCAGCCCAGGCCTGAAACTGCTGGCAGATGAAAGGGTAGCATCTTTCATTTGAATAGCACTACAAGTACGTCGGTACCACGCTTCTGCTCTGATCTTTGGTATCTGTCTTTAATTAAGTGATCAGCACTTGAGAAAATTGTGCCATTAGTGTATGCTGGTCTATGTTACAGCCCCTCTGTGCCCCTCAGTCAGTACCTGCAGGTGAGCTGTCACCTATGTTCCCTGTTTCTGCTTAGATTTAATCACTACTGAAGCGCTCTGACATTTCGGATCGCAGATGATACATGGCAGAGTAATTATGATATTAGAGGAATAACACAGGGTTGCAGTCAAAGTCATCCAACGTGACAAGCTGTAAAGACTCACAGCAGATCTGAGCACCTGTGCTTTGGGCTGGATATGACTATAACAGGTTTATGGGAACTGTTAGGTCAGGGCTTGAACCAGTGATTGAGCACCTGGTGAAGGAGTGTAGCCAGCCCTGGGAGCACAGGTGGAAGCAATTGATCTGGGTGATTGAAAGGGGGTGGACTGTGGGTACACTGCTTCCTAACCTCATTTAAAGGCTGGCAGCCATAAGGGAAGCACCTCTACTTGGGGATTATCTCCCTGAAAGTGTTTAGTGTGCCCTGATCTTGGAATGGGGTAAGTGGTTTTTTTATTATTGAATTGTGACCTCTGTTTTTCTTGCGTTTGGAGTATCTATATCTGCTGCTGCCTGTTCTTACACAGACGTCGTCATTCCCTAAAATCATTAAGGTGGAGAAGACTGTTAAGATCATCAATTCATCCCCACTGTGCCCTCTAAACCATGTTAAAATGGCACTGTGTGAATAAAAGTAACTCTACTGAGCTGACCCACTAAAAATACATCCACCCAGGTGCAAGTACAATGAGCAAGAATGAGGGTTTCTCTTGTGTTAATGTGATGTGATGATTTGAGGAATTCATCTGAATGAATTCTAGACAAGGACTTTGTGCTGACAATGCTGCAGCATTTTGCTTCTCTAAGCCACTTACAGTGACCCAGATATACATAAAGTAACTGCAGATCCTTGGCTAAGATATTTAATTTGGAAATGTAATTATTGTAGGTTTTCTTTGCAGTCTATGGAGGCCAAGAGAAACAACCTCAGAACCTGAGATCTGAATACTGGTTTGGATGTTCCTGCCTCTGAACATTACTGTGTCAACATTAGGCAATTAGGCTGCCCTAAAATTGGAGCCTGAGTTAAGTGCTAGGGTGAGTTCCTGTGCCTAATGATTGCTAAGTGAGGAGGAAAGCCTTGGCATGAGAGATTAGCGGTTGCTCTCTCAAGATCTGTTTAGAATATCAGTTGCAAAATCCACATGTTGTTATTAAGACCATAGATAATTAGGCCTACAACTCATAAAATAGGGAGAAAGGCTTTCTTTACTTCTAAATTCAGCTTTAGGGTACAGTAAGTTGATGTACTCTCACATTTTAGAAGTAATATGTTTGATGGTGATGAGCTGCACACTTGTCAGATCCAGTGTGAACCATTTCTCTGTTCTGATGATACGTGCTTATTTCCACAGCCCACAGATGATCTCTGTGACATGCTTTGGAAAATTCCTGGAGCTTCTGCACGTATCTGGAGTTCTGCCAAACTGCTATAGAAATACAGCTGGATCTGGTCCCAAGCACTTCTAGCCCAGGTGAGTGGTGTCGGTGCAGTTGTTTCTGATGTTCAGCTGTGTAAGGGAAGCCCCAGGCTCTGTAGATAGCATGTCAGAAGTGCCCATGTATTTCCTGTGTGTGCAGGAACTCCTATTTACACACAGGCAGAACCTTTGGGTATGAAAGTCTCATTGGGAAAGGATTCTGACTTCTGGATGGTCTTCAGATCTGCAGGCGGTACACCATCCATATTTGGATTCATTGAATCATTAAGGTTGGAAAAGATCACAGAATCATAAGGTTGGAAACGACCTGCAAGATCATCTAGTCCAACCACCCTCCCATTCCTATTAGTACCACAAGCTACTAAGCCATAAGCCATCTCTAAGATCACAAAGTCCAACTGTCAACCCATCCCCACCGTGCCATGTCCCTCAGTGCCACATCTCCACAGTTCTCAAACATCTCCAGGCACAGTGACTCCAGTGCTCCCAGCATGCCAGTGCATCACTGCTCTTTCTAAGGAGGAACTGTTCCTAATATCCAACCCGAACCTCCCCTGGCACAACTTAAGGCTGTTATCTCTTGTCCTGTGAGTCAAGGTCACATCAAGTAGAGAACTCAAGTTTTATGTTACAATCAAAGAGACAAAAGGTTCCCCTGAGCTTTTAATGATTATGAGCAATGTAATACAACCTGTGACATGCTGGACTTTAATTAAAAGCCATGCTATTGAAGGGCTGGCTGTGTTTGATATATGAAGGTTTTTGTCCCTGTTGGTTCAAAGTGGCAATTGTTGGTTCTTGAGATAACTGCTCCCAAATGACCAAGAGTGCAATGCTGGGAATATTGGCTGGGCTGAGGGTGATGCTTTAAAGCATCAGCTGTTTGAGCTGCTCAGTGCAGGTGTGTGAAGTCCTAACACTGTTCAGATCTCACATCTCTCTGTGAGAATCATCTTGGGATAAGATTGAAATGGAGTGCTGAACGTTGCCTCTTGACTGGAAGTGCAACTCAAAGCTCAGTTCATGGGTTTTGCATTGGTTTAACTGCATGGATGCTTTGTGGTGTAGACATGTTTCTTCTGAACAAAATAATCTCTGTCCCCACGCACCTCTATGTGCTTACTTCTCTATCAAGATCTCTTCTTGACCAACTGCTTGAGTGAATGCTTTTTAGTTCAGCTCACCAACAAGTGAGCTGGATTGTCAAATAGGTGAGCTGCATATGCTAGCCAGGCTGGTTTTGCTGAGCAGAAAAATCTCTGGAAGAAACACTAATAAACTATTGGTATCAGGCTGAGAGCAATGGGTACGGGGATGTCAGGGAGATGGGATATCAGGAAAATGAGATGGTATATGATCAAGGATATGCCAGGTATTATGCTTTCATACCTCAGCAAGAGGCCAAATGGAAAACTCAAAGCAAAGAGCCAATCTTGTGTACTGATTCTGTAAGGCACATGCTGGGGGTAGGGATTATTTCCTATGAGATTGTGCAGCCCACTCTGTTTCACAGCATTCAGCAGCAGAAATTCAGCAGGACAGGCTTTCTTATTCTCATGAGCACATGTGATTTCTGTCTCTTTGCATCCTTTGAAATTCAGAAGGCTCAGAGCCAAGTTTGGTCCAGAGAGAGCAGCAGGATCCTGCTCTCAGGTAGGTGTTCCTACCGGGAGTCACAGGGCACTGGATGAATTGTGTCACTGCTCTGAGCTACTTGTGTAGCCAAGGTAAATTCCTGCTCAGCAGGAAACTGCCCCAGCAATGGGCTGAATGCAGTGGACCTTGGGGAATGGCTCATGGCCTGGAAGTCACACCGGTTCCAGGGCAAAACCAAAGCCTTTGTGCCTCGGAGGCACTGGCACCAATGCTGGGTCCTTTGTCTCCGAGAAGGGAAAAGCACACAAGTGTTTCCAGCTCAACTTTTTGGGAAGTGGCAGCTTTTGCAGGAATATTCTGCTTGTTTTCACTCTTTTCTCTTGCAAATATCTTTCCAACTCCAGGAATGACTTCAAATATATTTGACAGAGCAGAAATATTTCAGAAATAATTACATTTTTACCAGTTTTAAGAAGCAGCAATAGATCTGAGGGAGAAGGGAATGTGCTGTGAACTTTTGTTATTGTGCTCAAGATGCTCCCTAGGAATGTGACCCCATAAACAACTTTGCAACGCTTCAGTTGGAGATTAGGAACTGAACTGAAGCTTATCTACTATCTGCTACTGACCTGCAAGAAACCAAACTGCAATAATACTGGTTTCCATAGAGCTGGTTAGTCCCTATTTCAGAAAGGATTTAGCATCTAGCAAACTGAATAGAAAGCTTTTCTTCCTCTTAGAGCTGTATTTTCCACCTGTGGGGAGTCACTCATGAGGAAAACACTGACTGGCATCCAGGTGGTGCAGCTCTCAGCAGGCTTTGGCATTTGAAGACTGAAGGTCTCAACACGTTTCCTTCTATGGAAAAACGAGATGATTAAAAGCCACCCTTGGGGCTTGTATTCTTCTTTTGCGGGGTCAGTTGGTGGGTTAGGTACAGTAAAAGGTGTGACAGAATTATGCTGAAAGCTGAGGCAAGATGTTTCCTTTTTCTCAGGGAAAAAAAAAAGATGGGAAATAGTTCAGAAGTAGATTAAAATGAGAAGCTAGCCCTAGAAGGAGACGAAGGAGAGGTTAAAGGGACAAGGTCTGTGGGAATGAGTTGTTCTCTCATTACTTCTGTCTTAGCTGGTCCTTCCCTTTGCTTACAGTTTCTTTTTAGAGTTGTTTATTCTTTTAAGTATCCAGAAAGGAGGGGAGAGCTGAGGGTTGTCTGCCTCCCTGGGGAAGGGCAGAGCAGGCAGTGCAAACTGGGGTCAGACATAACCCAGGATAGGAGAGGTGGACTGGAGGAGGTAAAGCCTAAATGCTAACAGAAGGAGATGCTGCACAAGGACCAGCAATGGTACCAAGCCAAGATGCTGCTGTTGATGCTCTAGCTGGAAGCCATTCAGGCTCATGGATTCCTGGGACTCAAGAGCTCTAGTTTTGTTTAGAAATCAATCATCCCCCAAATGTCAAAAATAACCCCAGCCTGACACTGCCAGCAGCCTGTGTTGAACTGTACCAGACTTTGTATGAGTCAGGGAGAAAACTGAGAGGAAGGGGAAGGCCAGTGCTGCGTGGGTTGCTGCGGGGCGTGTGATGATGGCACAGTCTGCTGCCACCTCCTGTAGTGCATTGCTCTCTGGCTTCCATTTAAATAAGCTTTTCTGGATGAGTTCAGGATTTGCTTCCCCTCCAAACAGTGGGTGCAGCTGTGAGAGAGGCACTCCAAAGCAATGTACTGACTGGCATTCAGGTGGTATCTATCTCAGTGGGTTTGGTGTTACCATAACTTCATTTGAGTCGGAAGGGCCCCTTAAAAGCCATCAGTCCTACCCCCCTTCAATGAACAGGGACACCCACAGCTCCCTCAGGTGCTCAGAGCCCATCCAGCCTGACCTTGGCTGTGTCCAGGGATGGGGCACCACCACCTCTCTGGGCAGCCTGTGCCAGTGCCCTTACTGTAAAAAAATAAAAATGAAAAACCCTACCCTATATCCAGTCTAAATCTCCCCAGTTTTAGTTTGTTAACCATTTTCCCTTGTCCTGATGGGAGGAGGCTGGAAGTCTCCGTGGAAGGAAACCTGTTGAGGCGATGACTGGGTGCACTGGGGATTGGCTCTTACCTTGATGGGGGTGGCAACTTCTGGGCTAGCAACCACCAGAGGAGAGATTAGCAGCATGCCTGAGAAGTCATTGGGTCTCTCGCTGGCTGTCAGGATGGAGATGGCTCCCCCCTGCAATGCAAGGTAACACGGCTTAATGCAGATCACAACATCTCACTTATGTAGTAATCCTGTTACTGGAAGGATTTAGTTCAAAAAAGCAAACAATTTCTGCCGAACTACCCAGCATGCAGAAATCCTCACTCATTACTGGGAGTTAAATAATCTTCTTGTCCACCACCAGCCCATCCTGACTCCATGCACCCTGCACATCACTTTGAGCCAAGTGTGGCCAGGCTCAGCCTGAGGACAGGAGGGCTGGGGGATGCAGGCACTTGGCTGGCTTGCTGGGGGAAGTTTGCAGAGGATTAGTTGCCAGGGGAAATCTTTGGTGACCTTCCGCGCTGCCAGAGAAGCAAGGGCTCGTTAAATGGAGCAGCAGTGAGAAGCATCTGAAAGACCTGGCTGGGAAATTAGCTCCTTGTTACAGCGGCTTTGGAGCGCGGCGAGCACTTCAGAGCATGCCATGCGTTCTTATGCAAGAACAATCGTTTATCTGAGCATGGGCTGAATCCCAAAGCACTTATTTTTCTCTCCTCCGGCAAGGCAGGGGGAGAAGATCAGTGACATCAATGGGAATATTGCTCGCTTGAATAAAGGGATTTGGCCCGTGCTGTCAGAACCAGACTTCAGATCTGTTCACCGAATCATTGCCTTTGTTTTGGCGGCCCTAATCCTTGGTACGCTTCCCTGTGAGGTTGTTTAACAGAATGAGGCTATGCAGTGCTTTCGTGCTTCATCCCCTGGCTGCTCACAAAGCTCCGGAGGGCTTGCTCTCCTGGTTACTGGGTAAAAGGAGAAGCCCGATGCTGTAGGGGGGTGGTAGGATTTATTGAGTTTTCAGTATGATTGAACCGTCCTACTAAAAGACAGGTCAATTTTTGCAAATGGGCACTAATTAGGGCCATGGTCCAGGTAGAGGAGTTAAGGACTAGCTATACAGGAGGCAGATCTTGTACAGTTAGGCATGGTGACAAATTGACTGTACCCTGCAAGGAGGGGTGGGGATGATGCTTACCATGGAGTGCCCCAGGATGAGGATGGGCAGCCCTGGATGATCTTTTTTCATGAGATCAATGTGCTGCAAGCTGTCTCTGATGAAGACGTGGAAATCTGAGACAACCATCCGATCCCCCTCGCTCTGCCCATGGCCAACTGTAGGGAAAAAGGAAAACATGCATCTGAGTGATCTGAAGCAGTGGTTGCAGTCAAGAAAAGCTTTATTGA